ATATAATGATTATCATAATGCAGACCCATTTATTTTCTTCTTCTTTTTTTATCCAAAAATTAAAAAATGATAAAATGAACTGATCAAGCCAGAGCATTTTGAATTATCTAGTTTAATAATAATCATGACTAGAAGCAACTCAGCTTTTCAAGAAAGCTTTAAATTCTAAAAATCAAAAAATAAAACTTGAGTGAATATTACATCTTTATAGAAAGTTAAGAGGAGCTCATAAATTTATAAATATTATGTCAAATTATGATGAAGAAAAAGTACATAATATTTAGGTTGATATTTTTTTGTTTATTTGTAACTTTCTTTGTTAAATTTAGCACAAAATTAAAAATTTATGCCAGATTTTAACATTATATGCTTGGATTTATAATAATTCAATACAAAAAGTTGAAATATAGAAGGGATTTTATGATTGAAAAAAGGCATTTATATAGACTGTTAATTTTACAATTAATTAAACTTCTGTTAAAGGAATTCATTAATTTAATACATTTATTTTAATGGATTATGTATAGATCAAGAATTTCATATATCAAACTCTAAAATGCCATCCAAATTGTAAAAAATGCTGGGGTGATTTACCAAACCAATGTATTTCAGTGTTTTTATGATAAAATTCAACCAAATAACACTTGTTCACTTATTATGGAAAAATATATCAAAATAATACAAGTGTGTAAACAGATTATTTGATATTATATGGTAATTTTACTAAGCTAAATTACACTGAGAATACAATAAATTATTCGAATAATCAATAATATCAAATATATTTTTATACAAACTTAGCAAAATATTTTACTTTTAAATTAATAGGCAATTATACGTAAATTTAAATCGTATTTTTGGAGATATCTATGCTGGATGGGCTATACAGAGTATTGAGATTTCATCAGGGTATTGTCACTCTTAGTGTTAAACATGAAGTGAAAAATTCAAATTTATTAAGTGCAATACAAATTATTACATTTCAAATGGAACCAATGTGTTCTAGGCACTTGTGATTTTAATTTAAAATTAAAGATACTCATTGTTAAGATTTTGATACTACGGATGCAACAAAAAGTATTACAATATTACTTAGTTGTTACTTTCCTTCTTCTAAATGTATTTTAAACTGGATTATAATTAATAATATCTAGTAGAATTAGGAATTATTTTTATATTGCTATTTATAATTATATGTTCAAAATTTTAAATAAATTCTTTAATTCTTTTTCTGTAGTTAAAGTAGATTAGTCAGTATTTAATTTTAAGCCTTTATTGTATTCTTTAAGTTTTTTAATAAATTTTTTGTTTGTAAAATCCAGTAAGTGTTACTGTTATTTTTGAACTCTTTACATGAGTCTTAAAATTTTTCAAAAGCATTTATCACTTACATATTATAAATCAACAAGATTTTCCACATTGGTTAGTTCTTTATTGTATATACTAAATTTATTTTTAGTTGTAAATCAAATGTGAGATTGAATAAGTCCAATAGTAGCAATATTTAGAAACCTGAGTATTGACATTCATTTATTATTAACTCTGAGCATTGCAATTAACGTATTATTAAATTTGAGAATTTAAATTTTCATATTGGTAAAATTGAGAATTGGCACTCTCATATTATTAACTGAATGAATTTACATCCAAACATTATTAAACACACTAATCTGTTTAATATTATTTTGGTTTTTGTTAAATTCAGATTTTTCTAATATTTGATTTAAATCACTAATTAATCCCAATTGTTTACTGTAATCATCCAAAGTTTTTTTTTCAACATAATGAACTTTGATTTAAAATTTGTAATAATTGTTAATATCCATTACATCATATTTAGTCTTAGATCTTTTCATTCGATCTTCTAAATTTGAATGGAAAATCTCTATTTCATTGCTTCTTTTGTGTTGAAAATTGCTCGAAATTAAACCTAACTTAATAATTTTCTTTCAAAAATATAATAAATTTTCATTCTTTCATCTAAATCTTATCTAAAAGGAGAATTATTATTAATATTCTCAAGAAATGAAGTTACATATTAATGTTTATTTTATGTTATTAATTTCTATTCATTGAATTAAGAAGATATGCAGTAATATTACTTGATTGAATATTCTTTTTATATTTCACTTTGTTTTTGCTCTGATTCGCTTATAATCTCCTCCCATAATTTATCAAATGCTGCAGTAATTTAACCCTCATTTAATTTTAATTGAATTAAGCTAGTTAATCTAGATCTTTACTAATTTCAAGAATAAAGTCATCAAGTGACTTAAATCCTCTTTTGTTTTGATACTCTCTTTCTATATTTTTAATAATAATAATAATATTAAATGATATAAATCACTCATGCATTGAATTAACAATATCTATATTTTTTTTTATTTCTTCAAAAACTTTAACTTCTGAATCTTTTAAGGAACTATTTATACGTTGGCTTAATTGCTTTAAATATTTCAAGTAAATCTTCTCTTAAATTTGTTTATCTTATTTAAATGCTAGTAGTTTATCTTATATATCTTGTTCAATTTAGCTAAACCTTATTCTAAGATCTTCATTTTTATCATCTTAAATTTAATTAAAAAGGTCAAATTTTTTACAGAGCTACTGCGAATTCTATCATTTATTTCATTTGCTATTTCATTCTTAAAACTAAAATCGTATTCATCATAAATTTATACAAATTTATTTTTCATCAATTAATCTTGCTTATATTAGATTAATTCAGCAAATTTCAATAAATCTGGTAAATTACAAATAGTTTACCAATTAGTATATATATTTTACATGAACAAATTTAAACTTTACATTTGAGAGGTGTCAGTTTAGGATTAAAACTTTATCATAAAATTCTCAATCATTCTTATTCCATAAAGATAAGCTTCTTCAGAAAATTTTTCATTTATTATTAATTATCTCCAATCTTTAATAATACCTAAACTTTCATTCTTTCTCTATAATTTCTCACTACATGCAAATCCTAATATTTAAATATTATCTTTCGAAATATTCAAAAATTCATTATAATCAATGGCTTAATTTTTTGCATCTTAGTCATTATTATATACTAAATTTAAATTATTGGCAATTCCTAAGATTTAGTTTAAAAATGGAGCAAAGTTGTTAGCATCGTTATTTTAATTAAAAAACACCAACTTATTTACTTTATAGAAGAGAGATTAGGTTTCATAGTGTTAATGTAAATCTCCTCTAACATTTATCAAAATGATATCACTTATTGCCAAGACAAAAAGAGCAATTTTTTTATCAAACTCAGTATCAATCTAATTTGGATTCTGTAATCCCTCCGAATCAAGTATCAATATATAATCAAATAAATTATTAAAATATTCTTTAAATTAGATTTTCAACAAATGTAAATAAATACCTTTTGTACATCTACCAAAACTTGTCCAAAAATGACATCCAAATATCTTATTTAAAATAGTAGATTTTCCTGAACCTTAAGGTCCTAAAACACTTAATACTAAAACCTTCTCTTTTCCCAAATTTGTGAATTTATTTTTAAGTTCATCCAAAAATTTTGCATTTATCTAAAGAGAATCTCCCTCTAGAAATTCAAAAGGTTCCCCTTTTTTAATCATATCATATACTATATCTGCTGGATCAATTTATATATTAGCCAAACTTCTTTAACTAATTTCAATCAGTTCCCTCCAAAACATTTCTATCCCAATATTTCTGAATGCTATATTTTTCAAATTTTATTTTAGTTCCTATTTTAGTTCATCTTGTTATTTTTTATATATTTTATTTTTTCTTTCATAATTTATAATTGATGAAGCTTTTTAATTAATTTCATTCTTTTTAAGCTTGATTGAATCTCTTTCTTTTAGAAGTTTCATCAATTTTTCATTAATAATTTGATTTTTTTCCTACAATTCATAGCTGTTACGTTCATTAAATTTTCTAACTTAATCTGTGAATTATAAATATAAAATATAGTATGAGCTTTAGTCAAATATTTTACAAAAAATCTTTAAAAGGTTTGATAATTAAGAGTTCTTAATTGAATCTTCTAATTTGATTATTTATTACTTTGTTTCTTCATATTCTTCGTTATCTTGATTTTTGTAAATCTCCTTTTAGTTTTTAGTGGTAAATAATTAACTTTAACTTGAAATATTTTTTTATTGAATCAATTAATTTTCTTTTTCTTTTAAAATCTTTAATTGGTATGCTATGAATCTGATTGGAAAAGCTACTTAATCATAAAATCGCAATGGTTTTTAAACCAATCTATTTAGTTCATTTTCTAAATCTTTAATGATAGACTAGTCTTATAAAAATTAATGAGATATATTTTTTTCTATTGAATCAAATTTTTATATTATGTCTAAAAAATCTATGTTAGTGACTAGTGATTATTATTAATTTACTTTAATGATCTCATTGAAAATAAAGATTAGGTAAGTTACAAATCTTACTCTTTTAAAGATTTATCCAAGCCTTTCTAAGCCAAATCAATTATTTTATGTACTTTTATTCCTTCTTTTTTCAACTACTCTAAATATTTCTTATAAACTTCATTAATAATATTCTCTTCTAACTCTCCTTTGTAATTTCTTATAATAAAACATATTGTAGAATTTTGTTTAGGTAGAATATTCTTGATTAATTTAACTTGCTTTAATTTTCAATAAGTTCATATTCCGAATCATATTGTAGAATCGACATACGGAATAATGGCAAAATTTTGAGTAATAATTCTATTGGAAATTAGCCATGAGCATCAGCAACACTAAAATTTCTTGATTCATTAAATTATGTATCAAACATTATATCAATAGTATTGTTGTTTAATTGGCTAGTATCTTATGTCTCAAATTTATCTTATTAGTAAAATATTTAATTTATTAACTCTGTCTTCCCTATTTAAGCTTACTTTTAGCTTAAAGAAAAATTATTGATAGGAAAAGATGTTTAAAATACATAATACAGTTTCTCATTAAATCCATATAAATCGATTTCTTCTTTAGCAGTTTATAAAGATGGATTTTGAAAAATTAAAGGGACAGGATACATATTTTAATAGAGTTTGAGTAGCATAACCTTAAGTTCATAATTAGAATTGTTATAAAATAATTAAACCAATGCTTTCATATTGCTGATAATTTTTATAGACTCTCTATTATGGTTTTTGAATTGTTTGATTATTGACAATTACTGGTAGGATGATTCCCCCATCTTAATAATGTTAAAAAAAAACGGAATTAATTATTTAAATTTTTATGTATCCTTAATATTATCCATCCAATCCCACACAATTTTCTTCTGCTATTGGGATGATGTTCCAGTTAATGAAATATTGAAATCTTCAATTGAAAAGCAACAATCTAATGGACATTAATCAAATATATTCCCATTCTTCGATTGAAATCTACCCTATCCTGTTCTTTTATCATTTTTCCAATCTCCATAATAATAATCTCCATTAGCCCATGTATATTTACCTTTTCCATGCTTTTCATCATTTACATAATCTCCATTATATTCATCTCCATCACCCAACTACATTTAGCCTTTTCCTTCTCGTTTATCATTTTCCAATCCCCATTATATAAATGACCAGTGTAGTATTTCATTATACCATCTCCTTCTCTTTTATCATTCTTCCATTATCCATAATACAAATCACCATTGGCATATTTCATCTAACCCTTTCCTTCTCGATTATTATTTTTCCAATCTCCATAATATTCATCTCCATTGGCCAATTTATAATTACCCTTACCTTATCTTTTATCATTTATCCAACTTCCATAATATTCAGCCCCGTCAGTATATATCATTTGACCCTCTCCATGTTAATTTCCATTAACAAAATATCCATCATAGTGATTTCCATTATTGTATTTTATTACATGTTTACCAGTTAACCCTATAGACCATATGCTCATCTTCAATTTATTTTTATTAGAAAAAAGCCAAATAGAAATACAAATTAAATATGTCATTTTAATCAATTAAGAAATATTTGAATAATAAATTTAATTTTTGTATTTAATAATTCTAAATAACAATATATAAAAACAATTAAATCCTCAAAAATTAAACTCATTAAACGCTTTTCGGATATTACTTGAAAATTATTCTATACACTAAATACATTACATCAATATCATTTATATGATTATTGATTATTAATCAAAAAAAAATAGAAGATAATAAAAATCATTATTAACCAAAAACAATTTCACTGCTCTGATTACTTAATAACAAAAAATAATTTAATGGTTGAGAAATAATTGATTAATTAGATATAGAGAATGCATATTTATATAATTTGATGAAGTAGAAACTTAGGTGCACTCAAGGGCATATAGGACTAAATCATATTTAAAAGATAGATCCTATTGAAGATCTAAGTATGATTTAATTTATAGAAGAGAAAACAAAATTTCAATGATTAGGTATGATGGCAGGAATAATAACAGAGAGCATTATCAAAATATAAAAATTTAAATAAAATTTTACAAAAATCAATTATTTAAGGTAAATTAAGCCTATACATAATTTAATACTTTTTCTTTTATTAAGATTATTCAACCCCTAGCTGAGTTAGTAATCATTAGTAATACTATAATGCTGTCGAAAAATCTAATAACTTCAATTCTATAAAATTATTCAATAAGATTTTGAGTTTTTAATTCCAAAATGCCTTAAAATGTATATAAAAAGTCAAAGGATACAAAATCTTAGAAGAAAATATTATTCATTGATGATATAAGAAATAAAATTAAAAATATCAAATTGTTTCAAGAAAAGTATTAGAGACATTCATTATTTTTGAATTAAGGAATTTGGATGCATTCTTCAGTGTTAAAATAGTAAATGATTAATCTATTTTATATGCAAGTTCTATTCATATAAAAGGAAGTTTTGATTGAAAAAATCTTATCTTTAGAAAGATTTTAGGATTTAAATAGAGATCTTATTTTTTTGAGTTAATCATTATATATTAGATTAATTTCTAGTCAGCTTGTAATAAATTATCAAATAAATATGATGAATTAAAATATTAACTAAATTTCAGAATACTAACTAAATCAAAGGCGAATATAGTAATAGATCCTAAAATGGAATAACATATAAATTAGAATATTTCAGTTTATAATGGCATGAATAATTAATAATTTAAAATTTTCTTACAACAATAGAAATTCAACTTTTTCTATTAAATTAAACAAATCAATAGTTATACAGACAATCGTTGTTTGAATCTATTCCATCAATATTAGTTTTATCTTTAGTTTTTACTTTCACTAATATTTATTTATTGTGGTGATATTAAAATATATTTTAACAAATATGAACTTGATTATTTTTTGAGAAAAACTAACTGTAATGTTTATTCAGTTCATCCTTTTTCAATTTTTAAGAATAATTGTTGAAAAGTACTATCCTTAACATTTTGTTATTTCATCAAAAACTGATGACGAAGGTAAATATCTAATCATTGATTTAGGTTGGTTAATCAAAAATCCCTATAATAGAGCATCTAAACATACATATAGTTGTGTAGTAAAAATATATATGGAGGATATTAGATATTTGGATGTTGCACATCAACTAAAACTTCGATGTTGAAATATTTTATGAAGGCACTTCATTATAAGGTACATATTGATATAACTATCTGGATGTTTAATATTAATATATCTTAAGAATTGATGATTGGCCAAACACACAACTTTTTTCATAATTATTGATTAATGGACTCAGTCTTGGTATTTTTATTCTAATACAGGATCAAATTAAAATTAATGTGGTGGTTCTGGTAAAGACTATAGTACTTCAGAATATAAAGATTTTTCATGACATACATTAAATTCAATAATTGTTGAATTATACTCAGATTATAATAACAATGTATTTTATAGTGTTAATATCTTAAGAACTTTTGAGGTCTTACTAATTTTGAGATTAAATTAAATGAATGTTATTAAGGATGTTAATTCTGTTTATATTCAACAGTTGACTGTATCATGCAGAAATTGTGGCAATAATTTTTTAAATCTTGATAATAGTTTAGAAGGTTGGATTAAAAATAAATTTCAATTTTTTAAATACTTAATAAATGATGGTAAAATTATTAAATATTATAGTTTAATTGAATATGCTTGTATTTAATTGTACGTGGATTATAGAACATGGTAATTAGATGATTCAAAAAATTTAATTAAATTAGAATCATATAGGGTAGATGGCACAATATGTATCTGTGAATTATCAATAATTCTTCGAGGTCCAATAAATTTAATATCGTGTGTATTAATTATAATTTGGTAAATAGGAATCATGTGTAGAAGGTTTAGTAATGTAGACTATATAATAATTAAAGCTTATAGTTATTCTGATTACCAATATTCTTAATCTCCTTAAATGCGAATCTAATTATAAAATCAAGCTTATAATAAATATTATCTTGAAATTGTGTTGATGAAGCACTCAATAAAGATTATTAAATTAATTTAGAATTAAACTATGAACCAGTAATTAATTAAATTCTAAAATTTTCATTCAAATATAAATTGAACTCTTAATGTCTACTTATAGTAGCCCAGTCTAGTGTAATTTAGCTATAATGAATGAAGAATATAATTCAAATGATATGGAATTACTAAATGCATCCGAGAAAATATTACTTAAAACATATTCTTAAATGAGTCAATCAGATATTGAAAAGACTATATAGCATATAGGATAGGAAGTTTAATTGTATTAATTTCTGGAGATTTTGAAATTATTTTTGAAATTAGTATCAACCTTATTTAAAATACATTACTATTATATATCCTGAAAATCTATACTTTTTTTTGAATCAACTAATTTAATAAGTATTATTCCATTTTTAGATTATTAATAAATTAATGGATTTTATTAAAGATTTCTATATTTATGATTTATTGAGTCTTATGCTAAATTAAAATGAAAAGTAATTTGTAGATTTATGAATGATTTGTTGTTAGCTTAATGATTAGAATATATATATCGAAGAGAAAAATTTGTTTAAAGATCCTTAGCTTAGTATCATTTTTAATGGGAAATAATATATTTTACAAAATTTATTGCTTTAGATGCTGAAGTAAGTAGTAGCCCTATTTTCTTATTGATGCCATTCATATTTTAGATAAATAAGGATACCCTCGATTTTGATGTTTGTTGGATTGCCATTTATGCTTATAAGTACCTATCTTTATTTTGTATAAAAATACAAGTCATTAGAAATTTACAAAGATTTATTTGAATATTTTTTAGAATCAATGGAGCTGATAATAACATTTAGACTTAATCTTTATTCATGGTTGATCATCAATGTTTCTTCTTTTTTGAGCAGATTCCTTTGAAAATAAAAGGATGCTAAGCTTCTCAAATTTTAGAACAGAAATACAATTACTAATTATACTCATATAAAGATAATTAATGTAACTGTTAATAAAGAATAAGTTTTAAATAATAAATTTGATAAACGGAATGACCTCTGATTATAGATTACATTTTTATTTAATTAAATTGAAAGTTTGTGAGAGTTTATTAATTATATTGGTTAGTTTAAGGTAAAGGCATTATATCACTGTAGGACACACTTACATTATATAGATTTAATCATTTAGTATTCTTATCTCTTAAAAAAAATATATCTTAGGTCAACATTTATTTTATATTGCTAAATATCTTTTTATGATAATTCATAATATTCAGATAACCAACATTTGATTGAACTTAAATTATCTATTTTTATCACTTTAAAACCATCCATTATTCTTTGAAATAATTTTATATTCTTATTGTATCATTAATAAAAGAACTCATTGTTATTCTTAATCGATATTTATTTATTAATCATAATTGATTAAAAACTTTATATTTGTTACTCAGTCTTTGAAGTAATATTCATTATTATTTTAAGTTAATATTCCCATTATGAATGTTTGTAAGAGATGTTTATTTTAGTTATTTAAATATACCATAAAATAGTTTATGCTTCATATTTTAAATTATAAATTATATGTCTATTGTCATTCTTTATAAGGATATGCTTCTAATCAAATAATTTCATAAAATTAATATAGTTTGACAAGTGCATTTTACTTAAAATAATGAATAAATTTTCTGGTAATTGATAGTTCGATATAATAGCTGTTATGATTACTTCTTAATCTGTCATAGTATTTATCTTAATATTTCAAAAACAAATCCTTAATAATAATAATGAAATCCTTTTGATGATGTAAATCAAAATTTTTTTTTATAATTTAAGTAATCAAAAAATAAAATAATTCACACTTTTAGATTTTCAGAATTTATGAAAATGATAGATATTTATTATTATTGTTTTATTAAATTTATTGAATGGGTTGTTAACAGAAACTTATATGGAAAAACTAAAGTTTAAATATATATATTCGATTATTCTTTAGTGGACCATATATTATTATCCCTGTTTATATATATAATATTATAATTACTTTAATTAATTTTTAATTGAAAATTACAACACACAATAGAATATAATTTTATTCTATTGCTTCCATATTTTAAAGGGAATCAATATCAATTAGTTGCAATAATAAAATGAACATATCATATCAAAATAGTTCTTAATATTATGAAAACTTATAATAATAATAAATTTCAAAATATTACAACCAATCAGAAATATAAGCATAAGCATAAGCAGAAATTCAATATTATATTTATGAAGACTTACAAAACATAATAAATTTAATATACTAAAGAAATGCTGTCCTTGAGTATTTTAAAGATGATCCTACTCATGAAATGGTTACCTTAAGTAATAATAAATTAATATTGTAACTTAATTTATCATGTTCAATACATTAAGATTAGACATGGTAATACAAAAACCAACCAGAATTGCTTAATTTTTTATAAAATGAAAGAAATAAAGCATATAAAATAATTGATGAATTTATTGGCTATAATGATTAAATAATGAATATGAATAGGGAAGGAGATTAAATAAAGAATAAATAAATAAAAAATTACTTATAATAGTACAAAGAAGATTATGCAAAGTAATAGTTTAAATTGAATTAATTTCAATTATAATAGACAAGTTTAAAACCGCAATTTAATGAGAATGTGCTTTCAAAAATGATTTCATCAATTTAAACTGTAGATTCTTAAGTTGATTAAATAAGAAATAGCAAATAATATAGAATTCCTAGTCACTATGAAATTGAATAAAAAGCAAAGTATATTAAATAGATTATTTTAGAAATTATTAAATAATGACTTAAGGAAAATTAAAAGAAAACTTTCCAACACAGAACCAATATAATAATTAAATACCAAAACAAGATAATTTAAATAATAATATAGAGAAGACTAATACAATAAATATTGCTCAAACATAGAATAAAATTTATGGCTAAGAAATGTAACAACCTTTAGTCTAATCTAATGTAGATTAACCACTAATTATTAATGATTAATAATATAAAGGAATTAATATGAAAGAAAAATTAATAGAATTTATAAATTGCTTAAAATATTTTTAAGTTGATATCACTAAATTTTAGTAATCATCTAAAAATAATACAACTGAATAACATTTCCATATAAAATATTTATTCTATGATTTATATCCTAAAGTAGATTTTTAAATATGGGCATACAATTTTTAAAGGTAGGATTTATTGTAATAACTTATAAATTTACATTATTATTTTCATTTGTTTGTAGAATATTAAAGATTAATCGAAAATAATTAGAAACCTAATTTCTAATAAACATAGATATAATTATTCATTTATCTAATGAATAATTAAATCTAATAAGATAAATTTTTAATCAATAAAATACTTGAATTTTTGTTTTTGTGTAAAGATAGAGTTGAAATTTAAAATTATCTAAATTACATAATGCATATGACTGATCCTTTTTAAACAACTTACAATGCAGATCCAAAATAAAATTAAGAATAAGATCATATATATTAATTGTATGGATTGTATTCCCATTTTAGTATGAGTAATAAATGAGCCAAAAGAATATAAGGAAAATATTATAATTTGATTTAAAATAATCTTAGCAAATAAAAAATAAATATTCAATAAATTTTTGATTAAATTTCAACAACATCTTTTATTTTCTTAGTTTTATTTCTTAGTGTCTTTAACATATTAAAAGTTATTAGCATTTTTTAATTTCTGATGCTGATACTTTGATTCGAATACCTATAATTGAATGTAATTGTTACTCTATCCCCTAAGATTTGAACATTTCATTAATACAATTCCGAATTTAGCTGACATAGTTAAATTGATAGCTCCAATCTCTTTACACTATTCCTCAACTTCATTTTATCAATCTACATCAAGTTTTTTTTTATTACCTTCCAGAATGATCATACTTTCCCTTCCCATTTATCAACTTAATTAACACATCTAGGCTACATATTAACAATTTAATATCTGACTTAAACAATTCTTTAAATAATCCATTCAAAATAGTATCATCTTATGAATAATAATGAAAATAAAACAAATATAATAATAATAGATTATGTATCGTCTCATTTATAGCAATTATAATTTTATTACAAGATAAATACTGAACCATTAAAAGATTTCAATTAAGTAATGTTAAAAATAATCTGATTAAGTATAATAAAAAGCTTAGGAGTATTCAGTACCATTTAGTGTTATAATGAGTAATAACTAGAATCATATTAATTAATTATAAATAATTAGTTTAATTACAAAAAAAACCCAATAGAAAATAAATATTGTTTTGATTGTTTAAATAATTTAATCTCTAACATGACTTTAGGTAGCAATTGAAAAAAAATGTATTGTAATTGAAAACTTAACAGGATAGACAAAACTGATCGGACTACTTTTTGAATTAACAATAGAATGAATCAAGAGTTTAATGAAAAATCGGTTTATAACGTATTCATTTATCACAAAATGAACAATTAACTCATAATTAATGAAATATACCAGAGATTTAATTACTTAAACAAAAGAGATTTCCAAACCGAGTCAATCATCTTTTTGAAGAGTAAATAAGAGTTAAAAACTAAAATTATTATTCTTAAAGTAAAAATGGTAAGGATTGATTGAGTTTGGAAATATGAAAACTTAAAGACTTAATCTTATCTGAAGTACTATATCACTGTATTTATCTTCTGATTTGACTGAAAAATACATGAGGTTATTCACTTTTTGATACTCCTTATTTTTAATGCATTCCAATCAAATAGGATACTGTTTTTGAATGAATAGATCTGATAATTTCTGAAACTTTAATTATCTTTTAAGAATGATCCTTCTAATATTGTAT